CTCACCGAATTATCAATTCGACCTAAGTCAGCTCTTCCTCTCCATGTCGACAATGAAGGTGCAGAAGCTCTCGCAAACAATCCGGAACACCACGCCAGGACAAAACATATTGATGCAAGATATCATTTTGTACGCGACTGCGTCAAAGATGATATTTTCAAGATCGTGCACGTCTCCACACACGACATGCTAGCCGACATGCTCACCAAACCTCTCGCTCGTGTATTGTTGGAGAAACATCGTCTCATGTTTGGCCTTATTTAATTTTCTCTCTCTCTCTTATCTCTATTATTCTTTCAACTCCTTCTCTTATTTCTTTCACTAAAGTCAGTCATCAGCAAGGGGGGGTGTTGAGATACCGTGACATGTTCACAGTTGTCAGTGTGCTTTCTTTCTTCCTTCATTTCACTCATCTCTCTCATGTCACAGAGTGTGACATCTTGTTGTCTTTCCTCAGCTCATATACTGGAGCCAAGTGTGTCTGGGAGGATTCTCTTTTCCTCATCCTTTCCAACATACTTGTCTCCAGGTATAGTCATCTTTTTCTTTTCTCTTCCTTTTTCTTTTCTCCTGTCATGTTGAAATGAACTTATCCTTTCCAACATACTTGTCTCCAGGGTGTTCATCTCAACATTAAGAGACTAAGAGGTCTTTTTAATATTGGTATTGGTTTGTTTTGAGCTCTTATCACCTCATCAGTGCTTTGAAGTATTGAGCGGTGTCTATGTACAAGCGAGGGGAGTCGCTATCAAGCGGTGTCTATGTACAAGCGAGGGGAGTGGCAAGTAAGCGAGCAGAGTAGCAATGAGCAAGGAGAGCAAGTTGGTAAGAGAGTGTATAAATGCAATAGGTGATTGAGTGTAGAGAACAGATGACAGATTAGAAGACATTGTTTAGATGGGACTATCAATCAGTTGATACCATTCCTGAAGACATATTAACTGTTCAACGGTTTGAGGGTCCAGCATCAATCACTGCCAAGAGACTACTTGATGACCTTTGGAGAAGACTTGCTTGGAGGCTGCACTTGTAGCCGGTAATGTCAAATAGTGTCAAGCAATTCTAGATAAGATGGGAAGTGTTCTTTGTCAACTAGCCTAGTAACTCAAGATTTCCATTCCTTCTGGTTTGGGATCCTCTTTTAGCTAATGGTTCATCTCCAACTTGATTGTGTCCAGGGAAGTTGATGGTTCATATAATTCTGAAGATAATTAGAAGCCAGTATTGATACACTTCTTGGAAGAGGAGGTTGAAGGGGAATGATAATGGCACGCCACCCCCCCTGGCGCACGCCAATCTGCACGCCGCTTGCAGATTGGCGTGCAGGCCCACATGCCAAAGCAGTTTGGCATGCAGGCCCGCACGCCAATCTGCAGCAAGGTAGATTGGCGTGCAGGTCCTAAACCCATATTCATATGGGTTTAGGACCGGGGCCATCCCATAGGACCCAGGCATGGGTCCTATGGGATAGCCTATGAATGTACATATAGGATTGTCTAAAAATAAAAAATAAAAATAAAAAACCTTGAGGCTGGGAGGAACCCCTCCCAGCCCCAAGACTTGTACGGCCTCAAGGTCGGAGAAATGCCTCCGATCTGAGGCAGCGGTCCCAGCGCCGGGAGGAACACCTCCCGGCAAACTTCTTTTCACCAGCTTGTTGGGAGAGGTTCCTCACGGCGAGCCGGTATTCCACTGCTTGTCGGGAGGGGTCC